TTCTTCTTCTTCTTCTTCTTCTTCTTCTTCTTCTTCTTCTTCTTCTTCTTCTTCTTCTTCTTCTTCTTCTTCTTCTTCCTCCTCCTCCTCCTCCTCCTCCTCCTCCTCCTCCTCCTCCTCCTCCTCCTCCCTCTTCCTCCTCCCTCTTCCTCCTCTTCTTCCTCTTCCTCCTCCTCTTCTTCTTCTTCCCCCTCCTTCCTCTTCTTCTTCCTCCTCCATCTCTTCCTCTTCTTCTCCTCCTCTTCCCCCTCCTCCTCTTTATGAGAAGTAACAGAAACCTCTGGATGCAAACAGGAAACTCAAGGTGAAAACTGCAATCTCAAGATTGAAAATCAAGAGTTTTTCATTTACACTATCAAAGAGTAGAAATTAATCAAGGAGAGAAGCAACCTAGAAATAAGGAGAAATTTCCTGACAGTTAGAACAATTCATCAGTGGAACAACTTGTCTCCAGACGTTGCGAATGCTCCGACACTGGAAGTTTTTAAGAAGAGATTGGATAACCATTTTTGTCTGAAATAGTATTGAATTTCCTGCCTGAGCAGGGGTTGGACTGGAAGACCTCCAAAGTCCCTTCAACTCTGGTATTCTCTTACTCTGTTCATGCAACTCTGGCCATCATCTAACTTTTTTGACCCCTCACAGATATCCCTACGTGCAAAAGTAAGCAAGTACTCCTAGTTTTCCTCATGACATAAAATGGAGCAGTTTATAGCTGATTAAGAACCGATCTGAAAGCACCTTTGTGTTGTCAATTGTCACACCTAAATAGAAAAACATCGATGCAGCTGGGACTTTTCTACTTACGTGATGAAGTAAGGAGCCTCATCATTCACATTAATGATATTGACCAGTAGGGTCCTCTTAACGCTAGCACCAATGCTGTCTGTTATGGTAACGTTTAATGTATAGCTGTCAAAACAAAAGACAAAATATGCAATGTGTACCTGTCAAATCAAAATAAAACACAAAGTATTCAACGTATAGCTACCAAAGCAAAATAAATGCAATACAAATAATACAATGTAATATAAATAAATACAAATAAGACAATACAATATAGATAAATACAAACCCAATAGATGAAGGATTTCTCCAGTGGTTAAACCTTGTTTAAAAGCTCAAACCATCATTTCCTGATTTCTGGATCATCAGTAGGATCTTACCTCGGTAGATCTTTCTCAAAGTCAAATTGCTTCAAAGTAGAAATGGTTCCAGTTGTAGAAATTGTAAAGAAGGTGGAATCGGAACTCAGGGAAAACTGGAAGAAGTAATCAGAGGCAAGGGGATCATTTGTAAGGAACCCGATTTGAAGCGTTCGCGACCCGAGGTTCCACTGTACTGAATTTTCATTGACTAGATTCTTGTGTGTAGGCGTGGAAAATGCAAACTTTTTGAACTGCAACTTAACATGCGGTCTTGATCCTTGCAACTGACAAGCAAAACCAACAACAACACTTCCCACTAAAACCTAGAAACAGTCTTGTGCAGTAGTTAAGGTGTTGAGCTAGAAATCAGGAACCAATAAGTTCTAGTCCTTCCTTATGAAAGCCAGGCTGGGGCCAATGACACACACACACACACACACAGAGACACAGAGACACAAACACACACACACACACACACAGAGTCTCTCTCTCCCTCCTTCCTCTCCCTCTCCCTCCCTCCCTCTCTCTTTTTCTCCCCCTCCCTCTCCCTCTTTCCCTCCAAAATTTTCCAAATCTTTCTTTGCTTAGGGCATTTCTTTCTAGAAATGCAGCTCTCTCTCTCTCTCTCTCTCTCCCTCTCCCTCTCCCTCTCCCTCTCCTTCTCCTTCTCCTTCTCCCTCTCTCTCTCTCCATCCCTCCCTTCCCCCTACCTCTGTCACTCTCTCTCCCACTTCCCAGGATTGTTTTGGAGAAAATAAGAGGTAAGATTATTAGGTATGTTCATTGCCTTGAGTTGACCAAAAATATCAGCTGCCACCTTGTGCTTCGCTGCTGTGCAATGACAGACTGCCATGACCTGTGGGGAGGGCGGAAGGAAGAGGGAAATGCTTGGGGAAACAAAAGTAAGTGCTGTGCCTTCTCAAGAGGTTGCTTCAAGGTCAGCCAACATAGAAGGAAGCTGCACTTGGACTGACCTTTATGAAAAACATCTTGCCTGAACCTGATTGGTTACCCTGGGATTGGCAAAGAGATACAGTAAAGGAGGGGAAAGTTAGAACTTAGGGATTTTGGCGCAGGATTCTCAGTTCCAGCTTTGCACTACTGTGATACACTTGATCTCTAATAAATTATACCTTTCTCAACAAATGGAGCCAAGGATTGTTTCCATTTAGAGAGGTTTATGTTGCGGCAGGCCCGACAACTTAATAATTAATCAAATAAATTAATAAAGCTGACGGGTAAACATTCCATTGCCCTGGCTCTTTGATTTCACAATGCTTTGACAAATTGCTTTCGAAGGCTTGGCTGTCACAATGGCGATATAACAAATTGTGCACATAAGCCTTTTGTTAAAGGAATGTTTCTGAGGACTGAATTCAGCAGAGAATGATTGTCAGGGATGTTAATATTAGTTCAATTTTACTCACCTCAACTTTTTCTGGGGTTTCAGGATCTCCAGCGTGAATTTGATAAATATTTCTTGGTAGTGTATTTTCCAAGATGTAGATTATGACAGCTATACAGATAAAAGTAATATGCATTAATTTAAAGGCATTAAAACTAGTCTATAAAGATGAGGGACGCAGTGGCTCAGTGGCTAAGACAAAGGTGGCAGTTTGGTGGTTTGAACCCCTAGCTCCCATTACTTGTCCCAGCTTCTGCCAATCTAGCAGTTCGAAAGCATGTAAAAAATGCAAGTAAAAAATAGGGACCACTTTGGTGGGAAGGGAACAGCATTCCGTGAGCCTTTGGTGTTTAGTCATGCTGGCCACTTGATCACGGAGATGTCTTTGGGCAGTGCTGGCTCTTCAGCTTTGTAATGGAGATGAGCCCCACCCCCTAGAGCTGGAAACAACTAGCCCACATGTGTCATGCCCCTGTCGGAGTCTGAATCTGAGGAGGAAGACGAACAGTTGACAGGGAGCGGGAGTGTGGCTCTGTTGGCTGTGGAGGAAACTAGGAAAGGGCAAAGTCTGGCTGGGCAGAGCAGGAGAGAAGTAGAACAAGGGAGAGGGAGTTCAGAGGAAGACCCAGGCCCACTCTCTTTTCATCCTAGGGCATGCAGGGAGGAACGGAGAAGGGAGCAACATGGGTTGCTTGGCTTACGGGGGAGGAAAGGGCCCTGATTCCCTTCATTAGCCACACCTGGGAAGAGAGTTTAAAAGAGTGCGGCATCTGCTGGGAACAAACGTGAGTTTATCTTGTGTGTACTTTGGTTATCTGTGTTCCTGGCATCCTCCCAACCATGTTGAGTCACGTCTGGAATTCCTTCTCCTGCCCTGCTGGACTAATTATCTCATTTTGCCTTGATTGAACTAATAATTACTGTTAGATCTGGAGGAGTGGGCGCAAGGAACGGAGACGAGGCATCGAATAGTGACTCAACTCTTTATTAGTGACTTCAGAAAGAGAACAACTCGCTATGGGCAGCAGCAGCTCCTTTTATAGAGCTGGCTGCTGTCACAGTGTCCAATGATTTAAGTTTGCTGTGCTGGAAGCGTCCAATCAGCGGCGACCCGCTATCAGCCAATCAGACTAGTCGGAAACGACCAATCATGATCTGCTAACTGCGGGCCAATGAGAAGTGCAGGATTACGAGCCTGCTGTGGAAGTAAAACTATTAGGATTTAAACTAGTGCGTTTGCTTAGTTCGTAACACCCCTTCCCCCTAGGTTCCGTCTGAGGGGTGGGGTGATGTATTCTTCCAAATAGGCAGGTCGTTTCACCTGTCTACTTGATTTACGTTGCTCCACCGGTCTTTGCCCTGGCTCTGGTTCCGGTGTGCTGCGTGCCGGACTTGATGGCAACGATAGTCCAACCTCTTCGCTGGGTGACTCGGGGTTGTCATCTCTGCTTCCGTCACGGCTGTCATTTGGATTCCTTGGATTTGCTTCAGTTGCAGTACTGCTTTGAGGCGAGGTGATCACCTGGCTTGGTTCTCCTTCGGCCGGTGAGTATCCCCGGGTTGGTTGTGCTGATTGCTGGTTTTCGCTTACTGGGTCGTATGCTGCTTCTCTTCCGGTCCCTTCGGTTTCCCTCCCCCCCCTGGTTTGAAATTCAGGGCTTGTGATGGGGGTAGGTGCTAGTCGGGAGCGAAGTTGGTCGATGTGGTGCTTCCACGTTTTTCCATCATCGGTTTGTAAACGGTAGGATCGAGGGCCCGTAGTTTGGGTTACGGTAGCAGGGACCCACAATGGGTCACCGGAAAAGTTTTTTGCAAAGACTAGGTCGCCTACCTTGAATGTGCGACATCTGCTGCTGGACCCCAGGGGCTTCTCTGGCGTGTAGGCAGGGTGTAGGCGATCAAGAACTGAGCGAAGTTTTCGGCCCATGAGCAGTTCGGCCGGGGTTCTGTTTGTGGTGCTGCTTGTGGTGCTGCTTGGAGGAGAAGCATCCTGGTCACCTTGTCATCGATGTCCCCATGGTCCATCTTGTGTAGCGTTTTCTTTATGAATTGGACTATGCGTTCAGCCCTGCCATTGGCCGCCGGGTGAGCTGGCGAAGTTAACGCGTGGCATATTCCCCCGTCTGCTAGGTACTGTTCAAATGCCAGAGCAGTGAATTGGAGGCCATTATCTGAGACCAGGACATCTGGTAACCCGTGCGTAGCGAATAGTCTGTTTAGTTTTTTGACAACTGCTTCTGTGGTGGTGCTCTTCATTTTGTGGACCTCCAGCCAGTTGGAATAGGCATCTACTGTTATAAGAAATGTGTGTCCTTTGGTGGGTCCCGCAAAATCGATGTGGATACGGGACCAAACACCTCGAGGCGTTTCCCATTCAGTCGGTGGGGCTTTTGGTGGAGCTGAGCGAGTTTCCTGACATTTAAAGCAGGTGGCCACCCAGGTCTCTATTTGCTTATCTATACCTGGCCACCATGCGTAGCTCCTTGCCAGTGCCTTCATGTGCACGATGCCTGGGTGTCCATCGTGCAACAGTTTTAGAACGTTATGCTGTAGTCTCTCAGGGATTACGACTCTGTCTCCCCACAAGATGCATCCTTTTTGGGAGAAAATTTCTGTCTGCCGGTTTTTAAAAGGCTTAAGGATGTCGCTGGGTTCGTTGTCAGGCCAACCTCTTTCCACCCAGCTGAGGACTCGTGCCAATCAAGGATCTTTCTTTGTTTCCGAGGCGATGTCCCGTGCAGTCAGGGGTGGTGACGGAAGAGTTTCTATTTGTAGTGCAGCTAGGGTTGGAGCTGGGTCGCTGATGATTTCTGGAAGCGGAGAACGGCTCAAAGCGTCAGCGTGGGGAATGGCTTTTCCGGGGCGATGTAGTAGTTGGTAATTGTAGGCAGCCAGAAACTCTGACCAACGTGTCATTCGGGGTGATAAAATGTGGGGAGTTGGTTTGTCTCCCGCTAAGATGCCAAGTAATGGTTTGTGATCGGTGATTATGGCAAAGGGTCTTCCGTATACATACTCATGGAATCGTTTGATCGCAGAGACGATAGCGAGAGCCTCTTTATCGAGTTGGCTATAGTTTCTCTCGGTTTTAGATAAAGTTCGTGAAAAAAACGCAATAGGTGCCTCAGTTCCGTTTGGCAGGACGTGGCTCAGGATGGCTCCTACTCCAAACGGTGAGGCGTCGCAGGTGACAGTTAAAGGTAAAGTCTCGTTATATTGCATTAATACAGCATCTGAAGTTAAAAGGTCTTTAACTTGCTGAAAGGCTCATTCTTCCCGGTGTCCCCAGATCCAGGACGCCTTCTTGTCGAGGAGCCTATGCAGGGGTTCAGCAACGGTTGCTCTCTGGGGCAAGAAGATGTTATAAAAATTAATGAGTCCCAGGAAGGCTTGGAGATCTGTTTTATTCCTACATCTTGGGGCGTTTTTTATGGCAGCTAGTTTTTTCTCAGTAGGGTGAATTCCTTGTTTGTCAAGAAGGTACCCCAGGAATTCAACCCTCTCAGTACATAGTTGGCACTTGTCTTTCTTGACCTTCAGGCCGGCGTCTTTGAATTTCTGGAGAACCATTCTGAGTCGTTTTTCTAATAGGCTTCTAGTGGGGGCAGCTATCAAGACATCATAGAAGTAGGGCACAACCCCTTTTATGCCCTGTAACAGTCACTCCATCAGACTTTGGAAAATGCCCGGTGCTACACTCACTCCGAATTGGAGTCTATTACACTTGAATGCACCCCTGTGTGTGACTATAGTCTGGGCTTCTGCAGTCTGCGCATCTACGGGCAGTTGCTGGTACGCCTGGGCTAGGTCCAATTTTGCAAATATTTTTCCACCTCCCAAGGAATGAAGAAGGTGTTGGACCACAGGTACGGGGTAAGCGCTCTGTTGAAGCGTGTGATTTAGGGTGGCCCGGTAGTCCCCACAAATTCTCAAGGATCCATCAGATTTTATGGGGGTTACAATTGGGGTCTCCCATCGGGCGTGGTCAATCGGTTCCAACAAGCCCTGGGCTATTAATTTGTCCAATTGTTCATCAATCTTTGGTTTGAGTGCAAATGGCACTCGGCGAGGCTTAAGGCGAATGGGCGCAACATCAGGGCTGAGATTAAATGATATGGGGGATCCTTTGTACTTGCCTAGTTCCTCGTCCTGGAATTCCTGGACGAGGGCCGCTTCCCAGTCATCGCTTCCGGTCTGGTGTATGCCTGCTAGTTCAATTCCTAGCGGTGCGAACCACTGCAAGCCTAGCAGGCTGGGCCGATCCCGATCAACGACGGTAAGAGGGAGAGTTGCAGTGTGATCTTTGAAAGATACTTGGACGTGGCGGGTGCCGGCAACTGGGATTCTGTTCCCTTGGTAGTCTTTTAATATAATTTTTTGAGTGCTGAGGTCCTGGAGACGGATGTCAGGGATCAGCTGTTTGAGGGTTTTCCAAGAGACCATTGATAAGGACGACCCGGAGTCAACCTCCATAATACATGGTTGATTCGCAATGATGACCTTCACTCGGATTTTCCTTGCATCTAGGAACGAAGCGTGGCCGATGGTGATGGTTTGATGGGTCTCTTCTCGTCTAGTTGAATTGGCGGGTGCTCTATTTCTGTAGTGGTAGTAGCTTCATTGGTTGTTTAGGCGGTCCCGAGTTACTGGCGGGGTGCCTGTTGTCTGCCGGAAATTATATTCTCTTCTGTTTGGGCTGGATCCTCGCTTGCTTCTGCATACTTTTGCGATGTGTCCCCTCTTTCCACAGGAACGGCAGAGTGCGTCTAGGAATTTGCAGTCTGACCGCGGGTGATTACCCCCGCATCCAGCACATTGCCACGAAGATTTAGGGTTCCGCTGGTCTCGCTGGTCGCGTTCTGACCTGAGGCGGTTGACCTCCTCTTCCTCGCTTTCTGATGAGGACTCTAGGTCCTCATGGTGGGTGGTCATTGTGTGCTTTTCGGAGAAGGGCGTAGTGTCACTGGCGAGTTGGCGGTGCGGTGCGTTCGCTCGGTGCATTCGAGCGGCTGATTTCCTGGTTGCTTCTGCTGCAGTAGCTTCGGCGATGACATCTGCAAGGCCGATGTCCCCCTTCGTCATAATTTTGCTCTGGGTTGTAGGGTCTTCCAGACCCAGAACGATTCGGTCTCCCAAGGCTTCCTCGAGGTTTGCGAAGCCACAGAGTCCCGCCAGGTTCCTGAGATCAGCGATGAAGTCTCCAACACTCTCGCTTTTCTGTTGGTCCCTCTGGTAAAACTCGTGTCTTCTGATGAGTGTTGGTACCGCCGGTGCATAATGGGCCCGGAGGATCGGCACGAAGTTATCCCAATCCATTGTCTTGACTTCGGCTGGTTTCACGAGTGCTTTTGCCATTTTAAAAATGGCGGGGCCGCAATGGGTCAGGAATACAGCTCGTTTCTTGCCAGGCGTAGCATCTTTTAGATTGTTGGTCTCCAGGAACATCTGGAACCTGTCCATATACGAGTCCCAGTCTTCGTTAGCCGGGTCAAATGGAGCGGGTGGTATAGCGCTGCTAGTCATTCTGTCGCTAGCGGGTGTGCTCTTAGCCACATGCTCTGCTTGGTGCTCAGCGAGTATTCAGTCAGCTCTATCGTCTCCGAATCCCATCCTCATCGCCAGTGTTAGATCTTGAGGAGTGGGCGCAAGGAACGGAGACGAGGCATCGAATAGTGACTCAACTCTTTATTAGTGACTTCAGAAAGAGAACAACTCGTTATGGGCAGCAGCAGCTCCTTTTATAGAGCTGGCTGCTGTCACAGTGTCCAATGATTTAAGTTTGCCGCGCTGGAAGTGTCCAATCAGCGGCGACCCGCTATCAGCCAATCAGACTAGTCGGAAACGACCAATCACGATCTGCTAACTGCGGGCCAATGAGAAGTGCAGGATTACGAGCCTGCTGTGGAAGTAAAACTATTAGGATTTAAACTAGTGCGTTTGCTTAGTTCGTAACAATTACAGTTTTTGTTGACCACATTTTGGACTTGATTCTCTGTAGCCAAAGGCTGTTCCCGGGAGAGTTTTTCTCCAGCCCAGAAGGTAACCAGGACATTGGGGGCAAAGTTGGAGCTAATAAAGGGACTCCTGCTGATTATCTGACTGTGTTGCCTTTGTGCCACGCCCCTTTGGGTCATCACAGTATGTGCAAGGGGAACCTTTACCTTATAAAGATGAAGTGACAACTTGGGATTCAATTCCTTGGTCTGGAAGGAGCTTTCCCCTTCCTCTTCCTCTCCATTTTGTGCTTTTTGTAAGCCCCAATGCTGGGTTTCCCTGTTCTTCAATACATATATGTCACTTTCATCCCATTCTTACACACCATTTTAGTACATTTTGAAAGCAGTGCTTCTTCGAATAAAATTGGTTTTTTAAAGAATGGAAATCAGCTGTCAGCAGTACATGTAGTCTTTGAGTTACTATCACAATTGAGCTCGATACTTCTGTTGCTAAGCGAAAACAGTTGTTAAGTTTTGCCCGATTTTACTATCTTTCGTTAAGTGAATCACTGCAGATGCTAAGTGAATAATATGGTTGTTAAGTGAATCTGGCTTCATCAGAAGGTCTCAAAAGGGGATCCTGTGACCTCGGGATAGTGGAACTGTCATAAATATGAGTCATTTGCTAAGTATCTGAATTTTTGATCACGTGACTATGAGGATACTACGACAGTCATAGGTTTAAGAGACAGACGTAAATCACTTTTTAAAAACAGAGGTTTTTTTTTTTTCAATTTGGAACGGTCACAAAACAAATGGTTGTAAACCGAGGATGGCAAAACCTGGTTTCAAACCAAGTCAGGGTCTTACTTTGATTCACCAAGTTGCCTTGAAACACTGGAGGTTCATTGATGTCTCTCACTTGGACGGTCAGAATCTGTAGTTCCGTGGCTCCTGCTGAATCAGCAACGAGGATCTGCAAATCAAAGGCGTGCGGCATCGTTTCATAATCTAGAACGGGGTCCCCTGTAGTAACCACCTGAAACGATAAACCAAAGATGAGTTAGAAAGGATACAATCGAGATCAAGTGAGGTACTAATACCACTCTATAAAGCCTTAGTAAGGCCATACCTAGAGTACTGCATCCAGTTTTGGTCAACACAGTATAAAAAAGATATTGAGACTCTAGAAAAAGTGCAGAGAAGAGCAACCAGGATGATTAGGGGACTGAAGACTAAAACATATGAAGAATGGTTGCAGGAACTGGGCCTGGCTAGTCTAGTGAAGAGAAGGACTAGGAGGACAGGAGAGCAGCCTTCCAATATTTGAGGGGCTGCCACAGAGAGGAGGAAGGGGTCAAGCTATTTTCTAAAGCGACTGTAGGCCAGACAAGGAATAATGGATGGAAACTGAACAAGGAGAGATTCAACCTGGTAATTAAGGAGAAACTTTCTGACAGTGAGAACAGTCAACCAATTGAACAGAAGTTGTCTTCGGAAGTTGTGGGAGCGCCATCACTTGAGACCTTCAAGAAGAGATTGGACTGCCATCTGTCAGAAATGGTGTAGGGTCAGGGGTTGGACTACTGGATGACCTACAAGGTCCCTTCCAACTCTGATTATCTGTTATCTGAGTTAGGAGCAAATATCAGATGGGGGGATCCGGTGTACACGGTGTTGAAATCAGTGGGTTCAAACTAGGGCACTTCCATTGTAGCATGGTCCCTGCTTCCGAAGGCCTACGAAGTATTTGGAAGTCAACTTATGATTGTCCTGAAATGCAGAGGACATGCAGGAAATGCCAGGAGCCAATCGGCACACACCTTCCAGGTGATCCATCGAAGAATGCAGAAAGTATCATCCAATCGGTGTCTTCTTCCTTGACCAATTACAGTTACTGGAATAACAAACCGTCTTCAGATTAGACCATAGAATAATACGGTTGGAAGGGACCTTGGAGGTCTTCCAATCCAACTTCCTGCCCATGCCCTATACCAGTGATGGGTAACCTTTTTGGCACCAAGTGCATCCCCAAAATGCAATATTTGTGGGCATGTGCATGTGCTCCGCCCCCATGCATGTACATGCAACCCCCCCATGCCCTCCGCACATGCGTGTGTGACCCCTCCATTCCTGCGTATGCACATGTGACGCCTCGTGTGCTCCCTCCCCCATGCATGCATGGCAGAGACCCAAAGACCAGCTGGCCAGTGGGAGGAGCACACGTACATGTGTGGCGGAGCAGAGCTGGGGCAATGGCTTACGTGCCCATAGAGAGGGCTCTGCGTGCCACCTCTGGCACGTGTGCCATAGGTTTGCCACCACAGCCCTATACCATTCTGGACAAATGGTTGTCTTAAAAACCTCCAGTGATCGATCACCCACAACTTCTGGTGGCAAGATGTTCCACTGATTAATTGTTCTAACTTGAGGAAATTTCTCCTTAGGTCTAGGTTGCTTCTCTCCTTGGTTAGCTTCCATCTGTTGCTTCTTGTCCTGCCTTCAGGTGCTTTGGAGAATAGGTTGACCCTCTCCTCTATGTAGTACCTTACGATTCTCGACTCTTGACGAATGTATCTTTTCTTTTATGTATACTGAGAGTATTTACACCAAGACAGATTCCTTGTGTGTCCAATCACACATGGCTAATAAAGAATTCTATTCTATTCTATTCTATTCTATTCTATTCTATTCTATTCTAT